CACCAGATCGATCTTCACTATTTCACTGACAACAGAAACGACGTTTAAAATTGTTTTACAACAGATTTACAAATTGTTTTACAACAGATTTACAAATTGTTTTACAACAGATTTACAAATTGTTTTACAAGTTTACAGACAACTATTGAAACATTTTTGACCAATGTAATTACATTTCCAGTGCCTTTATACTGCATTAAGGCATTCATTGTAGGCAAATATATTCCCGAGATATAGCAATTAAGCAACTAGTGCAAAAGTGAGCTGACAATTCTTAAGAAAAAGTTTATAAACATAGACGAATTGTTCGATGCGTTATCAGAAGATTGTCTGGGAGAATTCTCAAAGATATCGTCCAATTTTCACCTAAAAGGGAACTATCAGGAGAAAGGCATCACGACTATATAGCACTGGGAAGGGGTCAGGATAAGGATTTGGGATGGGACGGGGCGAAAGGAATGGTGCCCAACCACTTGTGGACGGTCAGGGATTGACCGCCGACCTGCAGGAAGCGAGACCGTCGCTCTGCCGTCCAGCCCAAGTGGTTGGATGGGCACCTAGAGATGTCATTCGGAAGCCATCGTGAGATATCATCCATAACCATCTCGAGACATCATCAAGAAGCCATAAGCCATCTCAAGATATCATCAAGAAGCCATAAGCCATCTCAAGATATCATCCATAAGCCATCTCGAGATATCATCCATAAGCCATCTCAAGATACCATCCATAACCATCTCAAGATATCACCCAAAAGCTATCTTAAACCAGAACCAAGTAACGATATGAATAATGAATTACAAAAACACTCTGGGCTGAACACAATGCCAGCAGGCAAGACGGAAAAAAAACAAAGAATAATCCGACAAATATCGCAACGCCAAAAACTAATATATCAGGCCATAATACCCACGTTAGCCCTCAAACATTTACAAGAAAAATTACGTTTGCAATGTAATTTTCGTTCATAAAAGTGACTCCATTATATAATTACTCTGACACAGACCCGGCAATGTTGCCTCATTAACGATCAATTTGGCAGTCGATTTACGTGGCTAAACGACCTTTAGGAGCGAGATTTCCTTTTTCTCGCAGTAAGGTGATTATCATGCTTAAATTACCAAGTAGCTAATGAGTAGAGTGTGAAGGCAATAGTTCGTCAAATTTGTTATTATTTAGCCCATTACACTATTTAACACCTAATCTATTACAGTATTTAACACAGAGCCAATTACACTATTTATCACCTCAATTCACTTCAGTATTTAGCACCTAAAATAGCAATCCCTTGAGACCTTTTATTTTAAGAATCCTTAAAGGTACGTAAGTAAAGGATTTAAAGAATATCAGAACATTTTGAAGTTTTAGAATAGTCTTGTTCTTAATATGTGTAGAAATGGGGTAAGAACAAAGGTAGGTGGTAATGGGGTCAATAGAGGAGTTAAGAGCCTATTGCCTAGTTCGTAGGCTTCACGAAGGTCAACAGAGAGTCCGACCTGATTCAAAACGCCCTGTCGTAGCTCAGTCGATTAAGGCAGCGTCTGGGATGCTCTCGGACGCAGGTTCGAATCCTCGTCACGGCCCTTGTGGATTCAAAGATTGTTGTCATGGCACTTGGCTGGTTGCCTATTACGTAAGGAAGCTTGTACTCACCTATTTGTGCTTGCGAGGGGGTTGAGCTCTGGCTCTTTGGTCCCGCCTCTCAACTGTCACTCAACTGGTGTACAGGTTCCTGAGCCTATTGGGCTCTTGTGTATTGGTGTAAGTGTAGATGTAATGGGATTTCGCTGTGGATTATACTGAAACTCCAGTTATCGAAGTACCTTTTCCCCAGACCAAGTAAAGTACCTTTTACGTACTTTTTTAATTTTAAGGTAAAGATACTTTTTAAGTACCTTGAGGCATCTAATTGCCTCAAGGATACCTTTAAGGATTCTTAAAATAAGAGTTTATTTTTCAACTCTTATGATCTGAAAATATCTTTCAGCTCTAATTTACATGGATGAATATATTCTGTTATATCTATATCTACCTATATCTATGCCTATTATATCTATGTCTAGCTATATCTATGTCTCCACACGACGTGATAACGACCCAGAAAGGACCAAAAGTTCGTAGTCCTGACGTCAGGGCTGATGTGGGTCGTCCCAGTACCCCCTATGATATCATTCCAGTTCCCCTATGATATCATTCGTCCTCCCACACCGTCTTTATTATGATAACCAAAAATTTATCTAGGAGAACTTCAGTTATGTTATGTTATGAAAACTGTGATGTGTCGCCTGTGATGTGGCTCCTGTGATGTGTTGCCTGTGATGTGTTGCCTGTGATGTGTTGCTTGTGATGTGTTGCCTGTGATGTGTTGCCTGTGATGTGTTGCTTGTGATGTGGCTCCTGTGATGTGTTGCCTGTGATGTGTTGTCTGTGACGTGTCGCCTGTGATGTGTTGCCTGTGATGTGTTGTCTGTGATGTGTTGCTTGTGATGTGTTGTCTGTGATGTGTCGCCTGTGATGTGTTGCCTGTGATGTGTCGCCTGTGATGTGTTGCCTGTGATGTGTCGCCTGTGATGTGTCGCCTGTGATGTGTCGCCTGTGATGTGTCGCCTGTGATGTGTCGCCTGTGATGTGTTGCCTGTGATGTGTTGCCTGTGATGTGTTGACTGTGATGTGTCGCCTGTGATGTGTCGCCTGTGATGTGTTACCTGTGATGTGTCGCCTGTGATGTGTCGCCTGTGATGTGTTGCCTGTGATGTGTCGCCTGTGATGTGTCGCCTGTGATGTGTCGCCTGTGATGTGTCGCCTGTGATGTGTTGCCTGTGATGTGTCGCCTGTGATGTGTCGCCTGTGATGTGTCGCCTGTGGTGTGTTGCCTGTGATGTGTTGACTGTGATGTGTTGCCTGTGATGTGTCGCCTGTGATGTGTTGTCTGTGATGTGTCGCCTGTGATGTGTCGCCTGTGATGTGTCGCCTGTGATGTGTTGTCTGTGATGTGTCGCCTGTGATGTGTTGTCTGTGATGTGTTGCCTGTGATGTGTTGCCTGTGATGTGTTGACTGTGATGTGTTGCCTGTGATGTGTCGCCTGTG